TATGTCATCTGCCAGTCTGCTCCTGAGCCTCTGCTAGTATGTCATCTGCCAGTCTGCTCCTGCACCTCTGCTAGTATGTCATCTGCCAGTCTGCTCCTGAGCCTCTGCTAGTATGTCATCTGCCAGTCTGCTCCTGCACCTCTGCTAGTATGTCATCTGCCAGTCTGCTCCTGAGCCTCTGCTAGTATGCTAGTTGAACTTTTTGTTTCCCTTCTCTGGAGTTGACTTTCCATATATCATACTGCTTAAGGAGTGACTGTCTAGTAGTTTCTCCAAAAGAATGAAGGGAGCCGACACACCACAGAGTAGTGTAAATTTCAGCTCACAGACCTTCACTAGATGTTTCTAGGACAGGAGGTACAGAGAAATATTTCAAATGGGAAAAAAACCGATGGAGAATCAAATCCTCCTTCACTGTATACAAAAAAGGTTTTGGACGGGGTTCCTTTTTAAATGATGGTGTTTTAAACTGAACCAACCCTGCAGTTTCCACCTGACATGATATATTTCCAGTGATACACTGGCAGTGTGGTGCCTACATAAGTGCTGATGACTTATCAGTAAATATGAGAGTTATTTGTATGTAAACTTATATAAATGTAATACAGATGTTTCTATTCATAAACTGACCTCATTATACTCTGTAGAAGCTGGGAATGATTAATTTACCATTTTCTTTAATTTTCTGTAATGGCCTGCGGTTGTGTTTTAATGCATTAATATAGTTACAAACATTATTATTTTCTTCTTGGCAGCAGTTATTTCCTCATAGCAGTGACTGCTGTCCAAGCATAACAGAGGACCTACACGGACCAACAATAAGTGTATGAATACAAACTTAAAACTGAGTCGGTCCCCCTCTTTCCACAAAAACAGCCACTTTTGCTTCCAAAACAGCCCTGACCCATCAAGGAATGGATGCCACTAGGGTCTGTGGTATCTCGCACTAATCCATCAGTAGCAGATCCCTTAAGTCCTGTGGGTTGCAAGGTGGGGCCTTCATAGATCGGACTTGTTTTGCCAGTATATCCCACAGATGTTTGATTTGATTGAGATCTGGAGAATTTGGAGGCCAAGTCAACACCTTAAACTTGCTGTTGTGTTCCATAAACCATTCTTGAACCATTTTTGCAGTGTGGCAGCTGAAAAAGGCCGCTTTGTGGTCCAGTTCTGAAGCTCATGTGCAAATTTTAGGCACTTTTGACTGTGGACACAGGTCAACATGGGCACCCTGACCGGTCTGCGGCTATGCAGCCCCATACACAACAAACTGCGATTCCCATTTTTTCTGCTTTCAACACATCAACTTCAGAGACAACGTGTTTACTTGCTGCCTAATATATCCTACCCACTTTCAGATGCCATTATAACAAGATAATAAATGTTATTCACTTGTAGCATAAATCCGGGACTGGTCTGGCTGTTTGATCCTAGGTTGGTCTCAGGTTCCATTCTCTGATAGGCACATAGAAGCCAGGCACAGTCACTCGAGTCAGAGAACAGGCTGTACATGTCTTTTTGCTGTTTTTTTTTTGCTATAAGAACTGGGATACTCCAAAAACTTCTAACATAACTATCATGGAGGACTCTAAATCTGACCTGGTCCTTCAGGGTGAGAACCACCCTCTTGAATGTGAAGGGTAACTAGATTCCAAAGAGGACCTCCTCAACAACAGTACAATCCTGTACCCTGTATATTGTGTTGTCACCTGCAGTACAAATCAGCTTCCTGTGTCATGGATCCTCAGATGAGTTTTCTGCATGCTTTCAGGAGGTAAGGCCAGAGGTCCCATAGCCCAAGCATGAGATGGGACTCCAAATGGATTTCTTTGGTGTTGCAGGTAGTCTCCCAGGGATGCCTAAGTTTTCAGGCTGTGTCTTACTTCCCGAGGAACAAGAGGATTAAAGATTGGCACCTTTGGGGAACGGTGGGGTGCCCTCTTCCTCTTCCTCTGTGATCACCTAGGCAATCGGAAGTTGTCCTCCCCCCCATCCCTGTAGTTTTCTGGGACACGTGACAGGTCCCAGTAAACTACGGGGCCATTCACAAAGTGCAGTGCTTCTAGCGCATGTGCAGTGGGAACCCGGCTGTGAAGCCACAAGCTTTCAAAACCAGGTGCCCACACTGAAGATGCCGGGGAGAGAATATGGCTGGTGAACCCAGCTGCGATGAGGACACTGCTAGACTAAGAGACAGGTGAGTGCCTGTATTTTAAAAGTCAGCAGCTACAATTTTTGTCATGTTTCGGTCCATTCAACACCGCCAGGTTGCACTTCAGACTGTCCAGAAGGTCAGTGATGTCCTGGTCCAGATCTGGGAGGAAATACCCGAGGACACCATCCGTCATCTCATCAGGAGCATGCCTCGATGTTGTCAGGCATACATACAAGCACGTGGGGGGCCATACAAACTACTGAGGACCATTTTTAGTTGCTGCAAATGAAGTTTCAGTAAAATGGACTAGTCTGCTGCATCATTTTTTCACTTTGATTTTCAGAGGGTGTCTTTGAATTCAGTCCTCTGTAGGTTGACAATTTTCATTTCCATCAAACGATGGGGCATCCTTAAGTTCCTAATACATTACCCAGTCCATATCAGTATAGATATCCAGATATTTTTCCCCATTGAGATCTGATGTGTTTTCACAGTGTTCCTTTAATTTCTTTGAGCAGTGTATATTATTTATTATCAAATATGCCAAAAAGTATCCCTTAATACAAAAAATGGAATACATCCTATTTAAAAACAACGCAATGATGGAATTGCCAACCGTCCATAGATTTACGAACAGACCGTAAACTTTAACCATTTACGGGCTGTCCGTAAATGTCAGTTTATGGATGGTGGGCGTCAGTGGAAAATGCAGGGAAAATAATTATTTGCATTGCGCATGCGTAGTGCTGGAGATGGCTGATGATATTTGGCTATCCCCGGCGCACATGCACAGTGTGGCAGGAAGTCAGGTCTGCACATGCGCAGTGGCTATTTCTGTGACGTCTTTGTGCATGTCGCTCCACATGCCAGCTTCCCGCCTTCCCGCCTGCCACAATTTCTCAGCTGGACTGCTTTGCTCTCCTTCACCAGCACATTTCCCTGTGGAACTCTGTTAGCACGGGTCACAGAAAGAATCAGTATGTTTGTTAGCCTAGTACTACTACTCTGCCACCGGTATTTTGGGCATTTTTGTGAGCACACATAAGTTCAGTTTGACTTTGAGAATGCAAAAAGGCCGCAGCACCGCTTCCGTGCCTATGCCTGCCTATGCCTAAGTCTACTCTGCTCACACAGACTGAGGAAATCTCTGTTTTCTAGTACTGCTCTGCCAAGGAGATTATTTGGGGCATTTTTGTGTGCACTAAGTTCAGTGACAGAGCGTAAAAAGGCCATGCTGCTTGCCTGCCTATGCCTTAGACTTGCTGTTACCTGTTTTCTCACAAAGGCCACAGATACATGTATGTGATTGTGAATGTGTGTCCTACACTGCTGCCACCACCACTGAGATTATTTTGAGCATTTTTGTGTGTGCACTAACTTCAGTTTTGAGAACACAAAAAGTATATGTCGCTTGCCTAACTTGACATGATGTATGTGATATTGTGAATTAATTTGTTCTACTACCACTACACTATGGCCACCATCAAGGTTATTTTTGGGAATTGTGTGTGCTCTATGTTCAGTCTGAGAGCGCAAAAAGGCCACGTCACTAGCCTGCCAAAACTTGCATCTGCATAGCTGGCACAGGCCACATGTATATGATTGTGAATGTTTACTACTACTACTGGCAGCACTGAGATGGATTTGGGCATTTTGTGTGCACTAAGTTAAGTTGGCTTGGCCAGGAGGGTGAAAGAGAAAAGCAAACATAATAGTGGCCACTATCATGTTTGCTTTTCTCCTTCACACTCTCTCCCCTTCCATCTTTTTCCTTTGTGCTGTTAGGTTGGATTTCCCTAGAATGTGGACTCCCAATCACACCAGCTTCCATACAATGGTGCCACCACTGCCACTACCATTAGGAACTACCATCTGCCTGCCACAACTGCTGAAGCATTCCCTTTGGTTTCAATCCAGTAAGCAATCAGAGAATGGTTTTGCAGTGTACTCAAAGAAGTTATCTGCTATAGTCCTCATGTTTGCTTTTCTCCTTCTCTCCTTTTGTGCCGTTGGGTTCTCCTGGACTGACGCCACCCACTATTGACCAGCCACTGGCAGTGCATCCAGTCCCATCCGGATCATATCACTTTTCTTGCAGCTCTGTCCTTTGGTAAGTATGGAAGCCTGTTGCTTTGGAATGTCTGTTTATGTGACTGTTACTGTGGGGAAGGGAACTTGGGTGTGGGGAGTAGGAGTCTTTGGCGATTGAGGTCATAGAAAGCTAATTTGTTTTGTTTCTTGAGAAAGCAGCTGTAAGGCTGTGCAGACACCACCAGCAACACCACCAGATTAGACAACCAACTTGTGTAACTGTAAGTGCTTACCCATCACACCAATACACCACACACACACTTTGTCTTTGCAGCCTACTGTAGTGGGCAACATAGACAAAACTACATTTTTTTTTAAATTTTTTAGACACCTTCCAAGACTCCACATCCACAACAATCTTCACACATGATGCATCTCTGTCTAATTGCAGCTAGCATGTTTTATTAGTACAATAATTCAGAAAATTCCTAAAGATCAGTTTCTATTAATTATAGCTTTCTTGAATTTCGTGTACACATACAGCCATCTGCAGCACTCAAAGCATTGAAATGTAGGAGGGCTCATTCTGGGCTGGTTTGACAAAAAACTGACAAAAAAAACAGAAATATAAATCCCTTTTGGAAGAACAAGAAGAAGAACCAGACAAATCAATGATCAGCACTAGAGATGAGCGAAGTATTCAAAAATTCGATTCGACTGATTCGGCGAATTCGTGGACAATATTCGATTCGAGTCGAATATATTCGCTGTGAATTTAACTTAAAAAAGGGTGTTTCTAGGCTTCAGAGAGACTTAATATTAGTGCAGAACACTGTACCTTTAATTTAAATGCCCTTGGAGTCTGCTGGGGAAGAGAAATAATACTGTTAGTCAGTATGACATGCAGATGAGTGCCGTCGATCTTAGAATCACCGCACACTTCACTCATTTGGCCAGTCACGGGGCCAAAACCAGTGTTTGGAGCCACAGTGTGGCGGTGGAGGCAGCAGCAATGGGAGGCCATACAGCAACCTATGACAAAATGGAAACCAGCAGGAGTGTGAGGAGACCTCAAAGTGGCACATGGCAGAGTGGGAGCAATGGGAGGCGGTACAGGGACCCATGTCACACTGTGGACCCAGCAGCAGCGTGACGAGGCGGTACGGGGGCCCATGGCAGATTTGGGGCCTGGCAGCACCTATGGGAGGCCTGTAATCTGCCAGCAACCTATGACAAAATGGAAACCAGCAGGAGTGTGAGGAGACCTGAAAGTGGCACATGGCAGAGTGGGAGCAATGGGAGGCGGTACAGGGACCCATGTCACACTGTGGACCCAGCAGCAGCGTGACCAGGCGGTACGGGGGCCCATGGCAGATTACAGGCCTGGCAGCAGCAATGGGAGGCCCGTAATCTGTCAGCACCCTATGGGCACATGGCAGAGTGTGGCGATGGAGACAGCAGCAATGGGAGGCCGTACAGGGACCCATGAGAGACTCTGGACCTGGCAGCAGCATGAGGAGGCGGTATAGGGGCCCATGGCAGATTAGGGGCCTGGCAGCAGCTATAGGAGGCCCGTAATCTGCCAGCACCCTATGACAAAAAATTCAACACACCAGCAGTGTGTGAGGAGACCTGAAAGTGGCACATGGCAGAGTGTGGCGATGGAGACAGCAGCAATGGAGGCCGTACAGGGACCCTTGACAGACTCTGGACCTGG